ATGCGTCAATGATATTGCTGCCCCCAGATTCATCCAAAACAAGCCTAGGAACAATTAATTTTGTTTTTTACTGTAATTTAAATTGATTACATATTTTGTTCTACTCCTTCGGTTTAGTGTGCAGTTAGCCAAAATGTCTTGGGAATCTCTTTAAAAATATATTGTGTGATGTTATGTATCCTAATTTTGCTAAAGTTTCTTTTAAATAAGAAATTTTGAACTTTTTTTTTTTTTTATATTTGTTTATCTAAAAATGTCACTGAAGGACACTAATTGCAGTTCAAATGATAATATGACAGTGGTTGTACATATAGTATATATTTTCTTGAAAGATGAAAAACAAAATTTTAATTGAAATTTAAATTAAATTAGAATACATAAAACAATCAAAAATACTTAAAAAAAATGAATTTAAGAATTATATCTCTGTGATGAACAAATTACTTGTGAATTATTTCTAGTTAAGTGTAAAACTGCAGTAATAAATTGCCATTAAGCTTTAAAAAATTATTAATTTATAAAGTATGCTAATAAAATAAAAATCCTTTTTTTTTAGGGAAGTCGTCAGTTTTAAATACTGTCAAAAGTCGTTAATCCGGACTCGTCGGGACTTCGGCGATTCCAGATTATCGATTTTTCCGGATTATAGATCATCAGTTTAAATCTGGTAAGATGGCATGCAGAAATTACAAAATTAAAAATATGAAACCATAATTTATGAAATAAAGAACAATTATGATCTAAAGGGTATCAAAATTTACAAAAAGAAAAAGCTTAATATTTATTTGTTTACTTTATTAAACATTTCTTTCAATATAAGTTGCTTCGTTTCATGTGATAATACTTTCTCTTTAATTCTATTAAGCAGACATAATTTCTTGTTTAGTTACAAAGTTCCGCTGTTCAAGTCCTATAATTGCTGTGTTGAGAATACCAACCAATTTGTCAATCGAAATGTTTTCGTTTTCAATAACCTGTGGGTCACTTTCTTCACTATCAGAAGCGAATTATAATGATGAGAAACTTGATTTAAATCATATCAAAGACGGAGTACATCGAGATGAAATACTACACTTAGTAAGGAATTATAAGCCAAATAAAATAAAAACATCTGCCCTGAAGATAAGGATAGTGCTGACAGATCAACTTCCAATCCGCGTGGTGAAATTGATAAACAGATTTCGGATTTCAAAACATACTTTCGCTTTGTAGATACAAATTACATATTAGTAAATATATATCGGAAATTCTATTTGACATAATCGAAAGTTCAAGCTTACTTTTATGAAATTGCTCTAACAGTCCGCAAAAAATAATAAGCCGGATCCAATTCGAAGATTAAGGAACAACGCAATCTGCAACATTAACTGAATTAAATCATTTTTGCTTAGATTATACTGTCCGTTACACATTAAACGCGCATGTGCAAAAACATATTCGCAGCCGTAAAGGTCTTATGCGCACTCGTAAACGCCTGTGCGCATGCGTGGAAAGTTTGTAGCTTTGAGGTCCGGATTATGGGTGTCCGAATTAACGACTTTTGACTGTATTGTATAATTTTTTAATATGCTCTAAAGCTTTCTCTCGGAACCTAAAAACTAGCATGTTTTGAAAAGAGCATTACATTATTATAACAGGTTCTGCTAAATTATATTCATTATTATTATCATCATTCTTTCATATTTCTGGGAGTCTTTTTTGCAGCAAAACTTCATTATTTTGTATTATTTGTCAATTAACTTCAGTTAAGTTGTCATGCTCATAAATGAAGATGTTGGAGATGTGAATTTATCTCCAAATGTATTTTCCAAGAGCCATTCTTCTAGTTAATATTTTCTAAGAAGCATGTGAATTATTAATTGTAATTTTACCCCTCTTCCCCCTTTTTCAAAGCAACTATAATTAATCCATTCTGATCTAATAAACTGAAAGTAACATGTATGTAGTGCTAAAGAAACCAGTAAAAGCAACAGAAATTGACATAATATGAATAAATTTGCTGTACTATAGTTTTAAATGTTAAACAGAACTTCCTTTAATTGCAAGAATGAAAATGAATTTTTTTAAAAGATCTGAATCGAAGGAAAACATTCATGAACTTTTCGTAAATGCATCAAAAGAAAATTATAAATCATGGTAGTTAATTATTACTTTTTCTAGCTTTAGCATACTGTATAAAAGTTTTCTTATTTGTGTAGGAATAAAATTATCATTCGTCAAAATTTCTTTTTCCCTTGAGAATTGTCTGTGGATTATAGTATATGAATATACCTCAAAAGCAATGTGAAACCCTACATTAGTGTGATTATCCTAATCAGGTTATTTAGTCATTAGTTTGTGGTATTTATTTTCATAGTAATCAAAGTCAAGAGTTCACTATAAGTGGAAAATTCAATGTATATTTCCTTTATATGCAGGTGAGGATCAATGACTTCAGTTCACTATAGCCAAATGCTCATTAGAAGCAAATTCACTACATCCAGAAGTGAAATATGTATGACTTGCATACATTTTCAGAGCAATGCAGTTTTATTTTTTGTGATCAGTTAAATATATGTAGCCAAATTCATCATCATTTTATAAATAACTGAATTCATATTTTTTAGTATGAATTTTCATTCTATTTTAAGAAATGAAAGTATAAGTATGTTACAGTAATTTTTATATATATATTTTTTAAATTTTATTTCCAATGTTGGGCAATAGCTGTTATAGGCATTGGTCACTTTAATATGGAGGCACCCAACAGGCCTCCTATAAAGGGACAGACAATTTATATCCATGCCTTCTCCTGGATTCGAATCCGGGCCCTTGGCAGTCAGTAGTAACCACATTCCCATCTTGAGCGGCTGATTATTGTAATGTGTAACAGTAGATATGTACTTTATATGTATAAACATGAAGTAGTTTGTACTGCTAAAATCCGTAAATGTGCATTATATTCAAAATTGTTGATTCAAAGATTTCTTATTCCTCAACATATAAAATGATGTGTTAAATAAATCTTTTAAATCAGTCATTCAAGCACATGAGTGTTTTATATGAGCAGTGTACTAAATAAATATGCTTTCATATTTGTATGAAACATTTTAAATTAGTATCTCTGTTTTCAAAAGAAAATATTTTTAGTTTTGTCAGAACATCACATCTTAATACATATATTATTAGCTTTTAAAATTTTGAAATGAATTTATATGTTCTGAAACTGTATTTGAAATCCACCTCTCTGTTAAGAACTCACTTTTTAGGTTTATAATGTTCTTATGTTTTTAATTTGGTGCTAAAAATACCAAAATTTTGTCGCAGTTATTAGTAAGAATTTATAAAAAGTTCAATAATCTGTATGAAATTTGTCAAATTTTGTAATGTAGTCTCAGATGCTATTAATTAAACAGAACAATCATGATATGCCTAAGAACAAAATATTCTGTATTTTCTGATCAAATTTCCAAACTTTACCAAATATCACTGAATTATCTCTGGCACTGAAACCATTTATTATGAGCATAAACTGATTACCTTTACATAATCTGAACATATGTTACATACATATGATTTATACATAATCTGAGCATATGCATCTGCTTTTTCATTCATAAGTTTATACATAGTGTAAGCATTTTGGATCTTGTAGTGTGACTGTTTTAAGTATTATTCTGTTAGCTCTGTTATTGCATACTTTAGTAATAAATCGGAAGATGTGAGAATATTTGCATGTTGCATAATCTCAAATATTGCAAATTTATGCAAGAAATAATCTATACCAGGTAAACAGAGATACTTTTGAGTATTTTAATTTTTAAAAGTTAATTAATGATAAGGGATGTGACTAATTACAGCACCAGATTGTATGTGGGTAAGAGGTGCTTAGAAAAGTTTTTGAACAATAAAAATATATCCTTAATAATAAAATAAAATTGATAAGCTATACTTTTTTTTTCTTTTTACAAATGTTAAATAAGCAAGTAAGGTTTAATTTATCCAAGAGAAGCTTGTGATAGATCTAAGCTAATGTATGTTTATAAAGCCTAGTCGGTATTCTTTATGTTTTTCTTGTGTGTTATTTCCACATATTTGTTATACAAATACTTTAATTGTTAAGAAGTTGTTGATATGTGAATGAAAAATTGTGCAAAATTGTATTAAAGACTATTTAATTGTCTCCTATTTTTATTTAAATATTATTTTGTGTCATAAAAGTATTAGATTTAAAAGGGAAGAAGAAATAAATTAGCCAAAATGTGAGTACAAACACAATAAGATACTCTTGATTAATTTAAAATTGCTAAATGTCATTCATATCTCTAAAATGTCTGTTCTTTGCTACTGAAAAGAATTAAGCTGTTAAACTGTTTCCTTATTTATATTAAATTGAGTAAAGAATTACTGTTTTCTTGTATGATTTAAATTAAAATGCTTACTAGATATTTTTTTCTAATGCTTTTTGCTTTATATATATATATATATTTTTGAGGGGGGGTAATGTATTTTTATCCAGTTTATGGCAAGGTCTCAAACGATTGCAACAAGTTAATTATTTAAATTATCAGGGGAAATTATCTATTGGGTGGAAGTTTGTTTCCCCTTCACCATCTTCTATCCTGTACTGGATTTACTGTGCTGCGTTCATTCGACTTGGAGCGCCCTTTTATGGGATACAAAGTTCTGACAGCTGGAACACAGCATGAACTTTTCACACTAATCTTGGCATACAGAAGTTGGAGTTGGTTGATAATATTCAGCACTTGATTAAATAATTAACTTGTTACAATTGTTTGTGAGGTTGAGATTTTGCTAACCAAAAATGTACATTTGAGTGTTCGCCATCAAAGTCTGAGCTCGAATTAACACTCGAAAGCCAAGTTTCCGGTTTTATTCGTTTTGTGTACTCTCTGGGAGTTTTTCACTAAACTTATTGTGCAACTTTTGGTCTCATTCATTCACTCTCCCAACATTGTTATAATTTCAGGTTGAAATTCTAATATTCCTCTTTTCTGCCTGTCAGGATGAAATGCGACCATATGTTCTATGGCAGCGGTCGTCAACTCTTAGAACTTCACGGACCACTATATATATAATTTTATATTTGGTGGACCATTAATATGAATTTAAAAAAAGGTAAATACATTTATGCAATAATAATAAACAAACTACACATATTTCGTTCACATTGAAAAATTACATGAGAAGTACAAAAACCTTATCTTTTTGTACAGAAAGCTTCACATTTCCATATCACTGAAAAGGAACTTCACGAAAAGCAAGAACAAACCAGCAAATGCAAAGCAATAACAAGATATTGACAGTGTTATGCCGCCAATTTTTAATTATTGTAAACATAATAATCATCAGTACTTACTCAGCAATGATGACATCAATCAACAGTCAGGCAAAACAAAAACGGAAACTTCTAGTGATGCAATTATAAAGAAGAATGCAGATGGTTCTCATAAAAATTCTATCAAGATGCCTATTAACACGGAGGAAAACTGTGTTATTAACAACCACAATAGCATATGTTTGTAATTTAAAAGTAAAGAGAATACCAGTTCATGCTATTATTGATAACAGCAGTATATCCATGGATGCCAACTCTCACTTTCAAATGTCACTAGATACACCTGCAAATGTAGCTAAAAAGTCGCTAAATACAGAAGGAATTTTGCTAAAAGTAGTAGCTAAAATTAAAAAAAAAGTATAATCCATATTCCATAATAGGTTTTGTTACTTGTCATTTTTTAAGCTGAATCTTCATAAATATATAAATAATGTCCCAACGTTTCTGCGGACCATCAAAATGTTTTCACCACTAGTTTGGCGACTCATTTGCAGCAGCGACTGGGAACCGCTGTTCTATAGAATTGCTCATCTGGATGAGCACTATCACCCTTCTTAACTTGTAAAAACAATTTAGAATCACCCTGTATATATATGTAGTATATAGAAGGTAAACATGTGTAAATCAAAATTCTAACTTTAATTTGCAATGGTTTCTTAACTCTCTATTTTAATGTGGTTATTTCCACTTTCCAGCCTAAAAGTAGTAACTCCTTATAGTAAATTTAACTGAATAATTTCAAAATTAATCCATGACATATGATTTTTTCATAACACTCATGATACAAGTAACTTACTCAAAGCCTTGGTGAATAATAATTTTAAAAGTTTAAAATTAGGAGATCAAAATGCAACTAAACCAAGATTAAATCATACTTAACCAAGATTTTTCTTTGAACACATCACATTCACTCTGTACTTCTTTTGCTAGCTAGCGTGCTGCTTTGTCTGTCTACAAATATCTTTTTAAAATTTTATAAGATGACATTGTAGTTCTTTTAAGAACCAGACACTCTTATTATGCCAAGTTATATCTGACTTTTTTTGCCAACTAGCCTACTGCTTTGTCTGTCTTCAGTTAAATTTAAAAAAAAAAATTAAGATGGTATAGTACTTTAGGAAACCAGGTGCGCTTACAGTGCCAAGTTATGTGTGGCTGCATATATCAAGAATAAGAACAGTGCATCTCCATCTAAATGATTACACACACATCCAAATATACATAAATTCAGGAAGGCTTTCAGAATGCATTACAAAAAAATCAAAATTGATTGACTTTTCTGTAGAGACACAAAATATTATATTATTGTATTAGCCCAGAAGGGCTATTATTAAATATGTTTTGGCATTTTGCTTTAATTCACTATAAATGGTGAATCATTTTTTAAAATTATTGTCACCAAATATTAGAGTTCTGTATTATATTTAAAGAAATTGAATAATGAAGAATCTGCATAAATGTATGTATGTTTCTTGCATTGTGATAAAACAACGGTACCTAGAGCCATCAAATTTTGAATAACGTAATCCTTCACCGAATATGGGCATCTGGAAGCCCTAATTTGAAATTTGGAATTTGTTATATCATCTATTTCATATTTTGTCAGACACAAAGAATTTTTGATTAACAAACTCGGTGATTTTATAGTGAGCAATGGCAACACTGTACGAAAATTTTTTTTTTATCTCCATCATGTGAGACTGTGTATCAGAAATTCTAAAGATATACTTATTTTAAAATTATTTTGCGATATTGCTGTTGAACTGAATTTTATGGCTTAAGTGCGAAGAGAATATGATATTTAATAAGTAAAAGTAACATGCAAAATGTTAAAAAAATGCTCCTTTGGGCATAATACAAAATCTGAAAGCTTTCAGATTTTTTTTTTTTTTTTTAAATTTTGTTTTCTTTTTTCCCCTATATTTTTTATAGGTGTGTGTCTTATGCAAAGCCGTATCTAGATATTTTTTCACCTGATATTATTCTTAAACATAGCATTCAAATTTTTTAAATCAAATGTTAAAAATATCTTTTTAATAGCTGGCAATAACCAGGTTTGAAGCTCTTTCTTGACAAAGAAAAGGTTTCATGTAATTTTTTATTATTTTAAGTTTGCTGATGCTTATTTCACCCTGGAACATCTGAAATGTTCTAAGAGAATTTGTGTTTTCTTGGGAATAAGAATGTGTTGGAACTATCACTTCCTTCATTTGTATTTAACAAAAATATTTTTTTCTGACTAATTAAGGCAGTTGATTTTTGATAATTTGATTTGTTAAGCTTTTTCTTTTTTTGGCTTCCTTTCAAATTATGCTGATATATTTATCTTCAGTATTAAATTTTCACATTTCTCAATGATATTTTCTAGTATTTTCTGTAAAAAAAGAGATATAATCATTCTGTTATATTTGTTTAATTCAGTATGCAAAATATATGAAGGTTGTTCTGCCGAAATGAACTGATACCTTTGTGGGAGACTTTTTAAGTGGAAATGACTCGTATACATATTGACTGGTTATGAAGATGGAATAATATGGAAGAAAATTAAATTATGCTATTCATTTCAAAGTGTATACATATTTTAAATATGTTATAAGCTCCTTATTTATATGTTATAAACTCCTTATTTTCTTAAACACTTTATTATTAAATATATTATAAACATTTTATTTTCTTTAGTTAAAAATCAATTAATTTATATATTTTGCCACTGTCCAAAACAACAACAAATTATATAACTGTCAATTTTTAATAAAGTAAAAATGGAAACATTTGATTAATTTGGTATAAATTTTAAAAAGGCCAGTTTGCAGACATTGTCAATTATACCTAATGTAATATTGAATGTAATAATATAATACCTAATGTAATATTACCTAATGTAATAATCCAAAATTTTGTATTAGAGATCTTTCTATTTATTGGAACAAAAATTAGGTTTTATTTACTGAAAATGAACTTTTTTCAACTGAAAGTGATACTTTACATAAAAGTCATTCCTATTTAAAACATGGAATTAGTGGCAGGTCTTGCAATAGCCACATTAGATTTTTTTTACTATTGGCATTGTTGAAAATCAATGGTCGCTCTGATCTTTGAATTAATTGGAACATTTTTGTGTTAATATTTTTTATCTCCAAATTTTAAACTTTTATTTTTTGGATACTAAACAATTTATGGATAACTGAGAAAATTTACCTTAACTTACAATTTTACTTTTCGGTCTTGAAAGAAAATTAAGATACTTATTCTTGTAATCCTCCCAGTGGTAGTTGCAGTTTATTCTATGAAAACTGTAAAAGAAACTTACTGTACCATTCTAACACAAATTATATATTAATGCAGCAAGACAAAAACTGAAAATATACTTTTCGCTAAAGGCAGAGTTTTTAATGAAAAAGGAGAAAGGAATTTGTAATATGGTATATTTCCTTCAAAACTTCTTATATAATTTCTTGATACCATTCAATTAATTTCTACTCATAAGGTCTGCTTAAATACACTATTAAGCAACCAACAAGTGTTCCAGGTTCAGTTCATGGATTCAAAAAGCTTATTAGGCAAAGCAGAACCAGTCTATGCTTAATGGACTTCTTTAACACTAGAAACTGTAGTCAGAACTACAATTTGGATTAATGAGAGACAGTGCGAAATTATGCCACTGGGGCAAATTCAATTTTTATACTTTATTAAGAAAAACTTAAATTGATATTAATATCTTAATTAACAACAAAGTTTAATGTTAGAGAACTTTATGCACAGTACCATGCAGTCACATCACTTTTAAGAATAAATGCGATTCTTTTCTTAATTCACTTAGATTAACTTTACCACCTTACCTTAATCAATTTCTAAGCCAAACTGAAGGTTGTTTTTTTATCTGATTTAAAATTTTATTATAGTGTGTATTTGTCCAAATAAGAATGCTCACATCTAATTTGGCACTTCTTCTAGTAGAAGTAAGGCACCCTTGTCTTGGCTCTGGTAATATGCATATAATCTTGTATATAATTAATATAATGTTGGATAAATTCTTCTTTAATTTTTTTGGGGGCAGCTGCAGTGTAAAATAAATGTATTTTATTAAATTAATTTTTTATGTGGTCAAATTTTAATTTTATAATTTAATTTCTTGGTAAATAACTAATTTCCTGTAAATTAAAAGAATATTGTAAAAAATTTATGCAGTATGCATGCATATTCTTATGTACATATGTATAAAAATTCAGGTGCTTAAAGTAACATGTTGTCTGATATGTACAGTATCTCATGAAAATGATTGGATGTTAATGCCTTTCATTAAGATAACCCGATTAAATGATCACAACTTACCAAAAAGTTTTATGTTTTGCATACAACATTTAATTTTGTAGGCACTTTCAGCTTCTGTGCACATTTTTTTTTTATTAAGGTTTACAAGCTATAATAAAAATAATATTCTCAAAAGTATTCAGGCACTTACTATTTTGTGAAATTAATTAAAAAAATGTAATTCTTCAAATTTCTCTAATATTTTATTAGATTAGTATTAATTTTTTTGGTGGGGAGGGAGCAGTGGTTTAATATTCTAGTGCTGCACTTGTTTTGTATTTGTAATTTAAATTTTACTTGAATTCCTTGAGGATTATAAAGGAGTTCTGCTTAATGAAACTGTATGAATGGTTGCCATGTATTCATACAGTGTACAACGTAAATTGTGAACGGTTGGTTAAGAAAAATATACAATTTTTGAACTACACATTGCATTTATTGCAAAGGCAAAGTATATCAAATAAATTTTAAGTTTGGAGAGTGAAGAAGTATTTTTATATTTCAAATAAACATCAGCCAAAGTTGCATGTTCACATTGCTGTATATTATGCATTTAGGAGCATTATGTGTCAGAATTTGAAGTTATTTTGCAGTTGTATGTGATGGTTTCAAATTTCATTTAAAAATGTCAGTATATTTTTAATTAGCCTTTACACCATCAATAAATGTAAAAGTATGGTTCTGTGGACTGTATATACTCACAAACCATAGCTCCTCATCCACCATATTGGACTTAACAGAGCTAAGTTCTGATTTTAAAATTCTGGTTTTGTTTTTATATTAGAAACTGGCCATTTCAGTCAAAAACATGCTAAATTAATTTCTGTTATCTTATTACGTCATCCAAAATTGTTATTTTTTGTCAGTCATGAAGGGAAAAAAGATGCATATCCACTATTCTTTTTGCTAATGTTTATTTTTGCAACTTAACTGTTATATTCAGAGAAGGCATAGCAGTTTTACAGACTCTAAATTATCTGATCTCTGCATGATTAACTTTACTAGTTAGGAAGCATTTTCAATAATCGAGCATTAATTTCACCAGTTATCAGTGTAGAAGCATTTGATATTCTTTTATTTTAATATTTCTGACATTAATGAAATATATTCATGAAGATAGTTTTTAATGGTTTTTCAAGGCTTTTATTATGATGTGATTATGATTATGATCATATCATAATAAAAGGTATTATGATGGGATTATAATTATTTATGTGATGCTTTAAATGAAATTTTATTAAATTAGAAATTGTTTAAATATTTGAAACAACCACTTCAACAATGTTTCTAATATAGATTTCTCTTTTACTGGTTCTTATTATAAACTAATGAATGAATTTCTATTAACACATGATAATAAACCATTGAAATATCACAAATCTTGAGGAAACTTGATTGTAGACTTTAAAAAGGCTTTTTTTTGGGGAAGGGTAATATATTGCTCCAAAATAATTTTATAAACTTATTCATTGCAAATAAATATGTTTGCAGTTTTTGTAGTATTTGAAACCTTCATGATATAATCTACCCACTAAAAAGAGAAAATATTAAAATTTAAGCTTAGTATTTCTTATTTGAAAAAAAAAAAAAAAAAAAAAAAAAAAAAGAAGAAGAAGAAGACTGGATAAATATATACTTTAAAGAAAATAATGTTTTGTAATTTCTGTTTAATGCATTTGAAATTTTTTTACATTATATTTTGAAATTAAAACTGCTTTCTTGCTTTTGTGAGCATATATATATATTTTATATTTTCAACTGCTGTGAAGTAGTTGCTTTCCTTGCAGGTGAACTTTTTACTTATTGCTATTCTTGTTCATATTTATACTGTTTCTAAAATTTCTTACTCACACACACACATAACATAACATACATTATATTTAAGAATTCTTTCCATTTCATCATGTGTTTTATTTTTCATTCATATGTGTTTATATTTTTACAGTTTCTGCTTTTACATTTTTATAATTGTCAGTTTGGCTCTGGTCAAGTGAAGCTCACATTATTATAAACTTTCTCTTAGCTTAAATAAGTAAATATAAATCTTTCTTTCTCTATTGTTTACAAATGCGGTGTTGAATTACATCAAGAAAGAAGTGAAAGTGTGATGTCAAGAAAGGAGGAAATATGAATATTTTTCTTTCCCTCATTTTAATATTTTTACAAATATAATCATAATGTAATTTTTCATTATGCTATTTAAAAAAAAAACTTTTATAATGGTTATAAAAGAACAACAGTTTCATTATAGAAAAAATATCAAAGTTTATATATTGGCTAGCTGAAAAGAACCTATGTAATACAATTGATTCTTGTTCATAGCGGTATGTGCAAAGAGTTTAAAAATTTCATTACTTATGTAAAAAACCTCACTTCTTCTGTTATTTAATCTTAAAAAAGTTGAACGGAAGTGGAATTTCATCTCTTCAGAAATTAAATCTAATAATGATACTGCCCTAGCCATTATGAGATTAAGAATTTGGTATCTTAATTGAATAAAAATTAAACCAGATGTTATAAGAAATTCTCTAGAACTGCTAAATTTCTTTTTTTCAGAACAGGCTTTTGATACAGAACATTAATCTGCCATGCAGTTTACAATTTCATAATACTGATGAATACTTGCTGAAAAAAAATTTTAGCCTGAAAGAATTTTCTTAATTTCTAGCATTACCGTAATGCTTCATAGATTAGTTTGACATGGCAGAAATGGATCGATTGAGCGCAACAGTATGTTTGTTGATTAGAAATTCAGTTCCGTTTCATCACTGAGCAATAAATTTGATCCAGCAGTTTTATTAAGTCTGGATTTTCCTGTCATGCTTTGCTGCAGTTCTTTAGAGTCGGAAAGGAAATACACAAATGTATGTCTCTGTGGCCAATATCATATATAAGTCATATATATATATGTGTGTGTGTGTGTGTGTGCTAGGCACCTTGCTACTTGGTTTTGCTTCCTGGTGCCTCCCTAAATTCTAAAAAATTTTCCATTCCCTAGATGTTATTACTCGGTACTTCTCTAAATTAAAAAAAGTTTTGCCAAACCTAAATTTTGCCATCTGGTGCAGTAGCACAGGTTGCACTGGCTCTGCGGGTGTCACTCTTAACTTGTTTTATTATTTTAAAAATATGAACTTCAAGTTTATCATTTCAGACATTTTTATTTTCTTGAACTGAATTTCTAACTTTTTTGTGTCATTGTTTAGTTTTTTGTTTGTGGAAACAGTTTAGCTGTTGTTGTTATAACCTGAATATGTGTACCTGCAGACCTTATGATTTATCATCATATTTTATGTTGTGTACCTTATATTTAAATGTTTTTCTTAAAATGCCAAATTTGCTATGCAGGTAATATCCACTATTGATTTGTCAGGAGATTCACAGATTATTTTTGTATAAAATAATCTGTGGATATTATTAGCAACTCTCTGAATTTTATTTAATGAATTTTTTGGCTGATATTAACTCATTCAAATGCAAAATCAATTAAGGTGCCTAAATAAATTTAGATGCACATGACACCCATCTTCTCCTGATAAGGAACGCTTTATATATATAAAAATAAAAATAAAATGCATATTTTCAAACTGTATCATAGTAAAGAACAACATAAATCATTTAAACATAAATTTATATACTTAATTTTTGAGGCATAAATCTCTAAGCATGTTTAGGTTATCAAGATTTACGTTTTTCATGTTAAAATCTTAGTTAAAGACAAATGCGTTCCCATCAGTTATTCTGCTTATTCAGTTAATATAACTGCAGGGGCGTAGCTAGAGGGGGGCAAGGGGGGCATCTGTCCCCGGGCGCAGAATCCAAGGGGCGCCAAACTGATGCTACGTCATTTTAGAATTAAATGTTTTCCCATCCTTGGCAAGCAGTAGGGGGCGCGAAATCTTCAGTTGTCCCTGGGCGCTGAAAACCTAGCTACGACTCTGTATAACTGTTATGATTTTGCTTAAATAATAAGAAGTGTTTCTTAAATGTTTTCTTTCTTTTCTAGATTTTACATCCACTTCAGTAAAAATTGGTAAATACATCAGATGTCGTTTCTGCTTATATCAAAGTAAATATACCACTCACGTTCGAGATCATGAAGCTACTCATACTGGGGAAAGACCTCATAAATGTACACTCTGTTTTCAATCATTTATACAGAAATCTAGCCTTAAGCGGCATTATGTAACTCATCGTAAAATTCCTGATTTCAGCTGATTTTTTTTCAGGTAAATTAGATACTTTTGCTTGGTATACTTTATAGCTGATAATATATGGAACACTGCATGCAATATTGCTGGATTTATGAATTTAGAAAAACTTTCATTGCATAAAACATTTCGTATTTGCAGTGGTGTGTTCTGTCAAATACACCAATGCAAAATATGTATAATCCTCAAGGAAAGTTATAAAATATTTCTTCTTATCCCATGTGATTTGGATCAGCTGGGCCACACACATCAGTATGGATTACAGTACAAAGTCTGTAATCCGGACATCCATTATCCGGAATGATCTATAATCCAGACCTCAAACTTATGTAAAATCCACAATGCATTATTAATGCGCGTGTCCGCTACGCATGTGCGTAAAGCGTTTACCCATGCGTGCTTCCGATAGTGAAGAAAGTGACAAAGACGAAACAAAAACGAAAAAATTTCAACTGACAAGTTCTAGACACAGCAATTACAGGACTTGAACAATGGAACTTTGTAACTGAACAAGAAATTATGTCTTTTTATAGAATTAAAGAGAAAGTATTAGCACAAAAAACAAAGCAACTTAAACAACTTATATTGAAAGAAATGTTTAATAAAGTAAACAAATAAATATTTAAGCTTTTTTTTTGTAAATTGTGGTACCCTTTAGATCATAATTGCTCTTTATTTCATAAATTATGGTTTCATATTTTTAATTGTATAATTTCTGCATGCCAACTTACCAGATTTAAATTGATGATCTATAATTTGAAAAACCCCTAATCCGGAATAGCCAAAGTCCCGACGAGTCCGAATTACGGACTTTGTACTTTATTTGTCTTGTCTTTTTTTGTGTAGAAAGCAAACATATTTCATAGAATCGTCGTTTAGGCAATAATCAAGAATCTTCTTGCCATTAGATAGCAGAAAAGGTTTTTTCATATTTTTATAACCACAATATTCTAGTCTTCTATGCTGTAATATAGTTTCAGATGTTTTCCCTTTAACTAAAGCAGTTGCATTTTTAATTTTCATGTCTCAATCTATATTTACACAGTCAAACTTCTGATTTGCATGGAAAGCTGCACCTAGAAAGAGTGTAGCGTGCATTTTATCCTCAAGAAAAGTTAAAAAATATGAATATAATCCTTAAGAAAAGTTATAAAATATTTCTTCTTATCCCATGTGATTGGATCAGCTGGGCCACACACATCAGTATGGATTACAGTACAAAGTCTGTAATCCGGACATCCATTATCCGGAATGATCTATAATCCACACCTCAAAGCCACAAACTTCTGCAACGCATTATTAATGTGCGCGTCTGCTACGCATGCGCGTAAAGCGTTTATCCATGCGCACTTCCGATAGTGAAGAAAGTGACAAAGACGAAACGAAAACAAATGGTTAAATAATTCATATTTTTTAAAAGTCTTAGAATTTTGGAATAATTTTGAATAATTTACAAAAAATTTCTGCTTCTTTAGGCATATTTTAGTTTCAAGACTTATGACTTTACTGTCTCTTTATTTCCTCATCCAATAAAAACGTGTGCGACTCTAATCATAACCACTTTTTTATCATTGGATTTGTAAGAATACAGCCACATTCTTGTTTTAAGAATTTAAGAAGATTTTAAGATAAAAAATGTTCACCCTCTTTTTATGTAACTACAATAGTTTTAATTTGATTGTATTAAAATTTTTTGATGTGTTAAATTGGAAACCAAGTGTTAAATATTTTGTTTGATTTAAGTAACAACTAACTTCTGTACACAGTAAACATATATTAAGGTTAAATTATTTTTTCCAGCATTTCCCCCCCCTTTTTTTTTCTGTTTGCTTTTTAATTATTGACTTTAAAATTCAGTGTTTTTCTTATTAAATTGTGTGTTTTGTGCTTGATGAGAATTAGGTAATTTTTATTACTTCCTTGTGCAAAGTAACCCAGTCTTTATTTTCACAATCGTAGCCGTAGTCATTTACTTCCAATTAATCATTTATTCCAATTCCAATAAGTGTTTTAAATGACGAAAATATTTATATTTTGGCAGTATCAAATTTAAAAAAAAAATTAATTTTGTTTTTAAATAACGTAATCTAACTTGTGATGTGATATCTTGTTTTTTTATGCATATTTGGGGAAGTTTTATACTCATTTAAAAAAAAATAAAATTATAAGAATTTTGAATCTCATACCACAAAAATTGACTGTGATATTTAATTTCAAAATTTGCAGTTTTTGATGTCATTTTCAATTTGCCTTAAGGGATCGTATAATTCAATTAGTATAATTTGAAGAAGTGACTTTAAATGAAGTGCAGCAAAAAATGTGTACAATTTAATAGGCTGTACAAGGAAGTCATGGTGTCCACATCAGATGTTTCATTTATTAATGTGATTATTATTAATGCTCTCAATTTGAAATTTTGGTTTCTTATTCAGCATGTTCTACTGTCATATTTTGCTTCCATTATTACGTATTTTAGATTTTTCTTTGCAAACACATTTCAGAATTATTAAAGTCTAAAAATTTTTCTTCGTTCTACATTCTTTTTTATATTTTTGGCTGTGCTATCATTGTATGGTTTACACGACTATATTTTTATATTTAAAACACAAGTGCTGTTTTTTAGTTCTGGTCTGTCGGGATTGGGCTATTAATTGCATAATTTAATTTTTTCCCCCAATTAATTTTTGTTTCTAAATATTAAATTTCTGAATTGCATGTTTGTTAGCTCAGGCTAATTTTTTTTTTCCTATTTCTCGAGCCATGAACCCTCTCTTGATTAAAATGTTTCAGGAAGTTTAAAATCCATTTGTTTTTATTTTTAAAATAAAAAAGGTTTATTTATTCGAGCTTTGTTTTTGTTCAGTTTTGATTTATTTGGTATTTTTGGAAATGTTCTCATTTTGATTTTGTTTTTGTTGTATCATAAATTATAATACGACGTTTAGCTTAAGAGAGCTTCTCCTGACGCATGCGCCGTTCGCGTTTATCCGCGCGGTGATGATGACGTAACTGTTTATTACGTATGTATGTATATGTATACCATTCTTACTTCTTCGCCCTTTTTTTCTCTGCTGTATGCAACTATGTTTAAGTTAATCTCTGTCATTAAAAATGTTCATTGATATTACAATCTATTTAGGCTCATTTATTTCTTCAATGGTTATGGGCCAGGAACGTTTCAACTGTGCTTAATTAGCAAAATACCTATTTTAAAATGAACATTTTGAAATTTTCGAGCATTGAACTCTTAAGCCTAATTCAGTGCAAGAACCGTTACGTCTAATCAACGGTAAGAACTGATCATCGTTCAGTTAAGCCTATTTTTTATAGCGCTCAATCTGTTTTTTTGTTTTTTTTTGGCTGTGAGAGACTGTATTACATTATGTCGCATTTGACTACTATAGAAAAGCTCGGAAAAGATAATTTTGATAGTTGGAAATTACAAATAGAAGCAGTATTGATTAAAAACGACCATTGGGATTATGTGACCGGTAAAGTGCTAAAACCTGCTTAAGGAACCGAGGACGAAAAGAAATGGCTCCAAGCTGATCAAAAAGCTCGCGCAGATATAATTCTTGCTATTAATCCTAGTGAACTGTGTCATATAAAGCATTGTGTGACATCAAATGCTGTGTGGAATAAACTCAAAGCCGTATATGAATCGAAAGGACCTGCTAAGAAGGCTACATTATTAAAACAGCTTTTATTTAAAAAAATCGCGGAAACTGAAACGATGTCTGAACATTTGAATAATTTCTTCGAAATAGTTGGTAAGCTTAAACAAATGGAAATTGACATAGCTGATGATTTATTATCAATTCTTCTGCTCTATAGTATTCCAGAAAATTTTGAAAATTTTAGATGCGCCATCGAATCAAGAGATCAGTTACCTAGTCCCGAATCTTTGAAAATCAAAATGTTAGAAGAATGGGAAGCAAGAAAAGGGAAATCGTCTCAAGATTCACAGAATGCATACTATACTGATTATAAAAGAAGGAATCAAGAACAGAAGAAAAATGAAAAATGGAAGGTAAATTCAAACAAAAATTTTCCAGCTGAAAGAAATTTTCGAAATTTGAAATGTAATTACTGTTCGAAAATTGAGCACAAGGCATCTGAATGCAGAAAGAAAATAGTTGATAGAAAATATGCGCAATAAAATAAGGGAAATCAAGGTTCTATGATGGCTTCTAATTATGAAGAGCAGATTAGTTTAGCAGTAAACAATGCTTATCAGAAGACCTCCTCATGGTGCTTAGACAGTGGCTGTACATCTCACATGTGCAATGACAGAAGGTTTATTTTCAGAATTTCACCCTCGAACGAATTCAACCATAAAGTTTAGCAGTTGACAACAACAGCAAAAGATTACAGGAATTGGAACTGTGCTTATGACAGTATCTAACGGAAAATAATACAACTAAACTTTACGCTCAGAAAATGTGTTATGTGTTCCGGAATTAAAATGTCAATTTGCTGTCAACATCTAAAGCTACTACAAGTAATCGTTCAGGTGATGTTTACAGAACGACATGCTAGAATAATAGAACCAAATGGATGTACTACTAGTGCAGGCTATTCGTCATGGTGATCTTTATTATATATATATCCAAGACACTGAAACAGCTGCAATAGCAGAGGTAAGTGATTTTGTAAAGTGGCATCTTAAATTAGGTCATTTAAATGAGTCTGATTTGAAAAGACTTAAGTCTGATAACATGGTTAGAAATTTAAATTTTAATAACACTGAATATCTAAAAGACTGCAAAGTCGTATCCGAGGTAAACAAACTGTGCAACCTTTTCAAAAAGAATCAAAATTTCAAAGTAATGAATTACTGAACTTGATTCACTCAGATTTGTGTGGACCTATGAGAGTCCCATCCCATGCTGGTTCGCGTTATTTTGTTACTTTCATAGATGACAAATCGCGTTATGTCGAAGTCAGTTTTCTTAAAACTAAAGATGAAGTGAAAAATGCATTCATTAAATACAAAGCTGCGGTCGAAAATCGTCTAG